AGTTGCATATGTCCTTCTAGTCGACGTAATGTAACAACTTTCTCAGAACAAGCCTCAGAAGAACTGTTAGAGGGCATGATTTTTCCTAAGAAGGACCAAAGTTAGTCAATGTATGCTAAAAGCTTAAAGCTTCTCATTGGAGAATGAAAAAAAATGCTCAGAACATCAACCCATAGAATCATCACAATCTGGCAATAGTGTGCCACTATCACGTAGGTATCATGGTAGGAGGTCGTACGTTGTGAATGAATGAAAGCCAGCAGGGCAAAATCGGTGCGGGGGGACGGTACGACGAGGGGGCCTTCAGGAATTCGACAAAATGCCTGCGGCGCCGCACATTCCTGCGCACAAGACGTCTGTCTCCCCCCTGACCGGACGCCCCGTTTGCTCAGCTGTGAAGTGAACTAGTCGCTGGTAAAGGCCTTGTTGCCGAAGAAACCATGACTTTATGCTCAGTCCATCAGGAGCAATGTCTGAGTAACTGTTAAGATATATTTCGATCATTTGGAATGAAACGCCCTAAATAACACAGATACAAGGGGCTTCATAATGGTTCAAAGTTCTTTAAAGGAAGACGGATGACTGGGTTTTAGGGAAACAAGATGTGGACGAAATTACCATGTACTCACAACTGCAAAAACTAAAGACAATGATTCGGACAAACATGTGATGATTGACGTGGAACCTTCAGCAGGACAAAAACGCTGCTGATGACCTACTTGCTAAATTTGCGCATATTCCACCGCAGAGCCAGACACGCTAGAAACGTATGTGCGAGACTAGAAAGGTCGATTCTCACTATAGTGCAGCTCACGGTTCGCGCATGCTCCAGTCAAAATGGGATAAAGTATTCTAACATGTTATTTTAATGTTAATACTCCTCCCATTTAACCTTAAGCTGACGACCATGCCACAACTGCAATGCATAGAAACTTGATTATTCTTAAATAAATTTAAAAAAGCAAAAACATTGGCAATTCATCATTCTTACCAAAGCATAAGTTTTGAGTCTTTGACACCTCATACGCTCGCTCAAAAGTGTGCAAAATTTAAATGCTCCAAAGAAAACTCATAAGGTATTTAAATGGAAAATCTGCCGAGTAAAAACCCACCAAAACTCTGTTCTTAAAAGCGTTCTCGAATACTTTATAGATAAATTCCCACAGACTGATAAACATGATCTCAAAATGCACAAAACATAAAGATTATATCTTTATGTCATAATTATAGGATAACTTAGAAGAACTGCTCCCTTTAAATTATGGTCCTTCTTTCAGTTATTTAACTTATACGGCGATAGCATGAATCAACTAAGTACCAAGTACCACTACCATGTTGCCAATAGTTGCAATGTGTGGTGAAACCAGAGAATTATGAAAAGGTAGTAGTACTAAACGAGTACGGTCGCCGACCTCCGCAATTCCACTATACCAGTCAGACCGAAATTCCTTTGCAACCTTTCGATGACTAGTGGCATTGGCAAGTCAAAAATACGAGGGATACTGAGGAAGACTGAATCATTAAAGAATAAGTGAAAATATCAGCTGACGAATGCAAAATAATAATAATAGATGTCTTCATATAGCTGTTTGTACAATCAAAATAGATGTCCTTATTTCTGACAATTTACTCAAATGCTGATAAAGTATATCTTAAAAATATCTTCAAAAAACACCCAAAAATAGAACAGAAAGTAAGTAGTGCGAAGATGGAAAAATTCCGAACCGTCCATTCCATTGAACAAATTGAAGCAAAACATTTTTTTTTTCGGATTATTAAGCGCATCCGCCAATATAGAACAAAATAATTTATAAGATACAGACAAACTAGATCTAGATCTGCTGTAGAAAAAAGCTGTTTGATTAATTTATAATTAAGTGAGCTGTTAATGTATTGTAAACGCTAGATATTCACATCTAGTCGAGTATTAGACCATAAAATTTTGTTCCATACGCACATGCAACTTGAGTTTTTTTCTTGAGCAAATTTTAATGTAAAATTATTCATTGCAATATAACATTCTTTGGCTTAAGAAAAAAACATGCTGGTACCACATACCTCTGATGTGTTATCAGTTACTTCCTGTACCAGGAATATATTTTTTTGCTTTCTAGTTCTCGTTTGATGCATAATATAAACTGAATTTTTGATTAACCAAATGTGGATTGAGGAGTGAGAATTATGTTAGCATTCAAGGCAGTATCATACAAAAACCATAAGCACCGCGACATCTTTTGGTAGCTTGTGCTAACGGGATTGTACCACGCTGGTACAACTTGAAAGGAATATATATTTAGTAGAAGCCTTCGCCATTTATTTGATACTCATAAATAGGAGTCATAATGAGATTTAGCGTATCACCTGGAAACTTTGCATGTTTTAGAATAAACTTCACATAAACTTCCAGATTAAAAACAAGTTAGTTAGACAGAAATATAACTCAGTTAATACAACCAAGTTATTAACTTAATGGTTGAAGTATATACGGATTTTACGGTTCAGTCGCCTTCCAACAAAGAACATATATTTTAATCAATACTTAAATATGTAATCGTGGCACTCAAGTCAGGCTTTAACGCCTAAAAACAAACTTAAACATGAAACCGAGTAAAAAATTGCGTTTTATACAATAAATATAAAATTTTAATTGACTGCAAAGTTATCGTTAAAATACCTTCGAAGCACAGCATTCTTACATTAACATCTATAATTCTATATTTATATTTTTTCAAATCTAAAATAACGAAGTTATAGATCCGCTGTTTTATGCAGTATGATGTGGCGTTAAATATTTCAACAATTTCATTATACTTAATGAAACTCTTACAGATAATAATTTTTACTATTTGTCTCGTTAAGAAATTTTATTAGTGCTAATTAATTAGTGCTATGAAAGCTTAAAAAGTAGTTATTTACGTTACATTCCTGGAAGAGTACGGAGTTTATTAGCATTTGGCGAAGAATCAACAATTAAAATTTCGATTGATTGGTTCAAATTCGCGGTTCCAGATGAAAATTACTAATGCGAAAAACAAATCACGCTGGTTGTTTGCTATTGCTAAAATTCATACGAATGCATATCAGTAATACTAAGGAAAAAAAACTCTCTCTCAAATTAATTTCAAAACCATCGAAAAATACTACGAAAATGAATGAATGGAAATGAAAAGGGTTAATATTGAGACTTGAGTAAAACCTGATTACCACGCAAATTATCATTACATCCGGCTTCAGCATAAGGCGGAAATATTATTCCCGTACTGTTATCGTTTGTCGCGCAGTTAAGTTAAAACTAATTGAAACCGATAGTTTTTGGTGGCAAATATATCAATATTCCGACGATTTCACAAAAACTTAACTAGACACTACTTTATATAGAGAAACTAAATGACGGCGGACCCAATTTGGTTAATGGTAAACAGCACTAATTTACGGTAAAGCAAAACGAAAGTGAACTCGCAGCATTGCTTATAACTACGCTATCAAAGAAAAAAATTAAAAAGCGTGCATTTTTATTGTATATGAATAGATTTGTATTTTCGGTATATTTTATTATAACAGTTTTTAAACAAGTTTCTGAAGTAACCAGCGTTCGGGTTTTTTTCATTTGAACAAACCCGTACTTGTCAAATTCGTTACAAAAAAAATATAAATTACTTTTATTTTTGAACTACTTAATTAGGTCCTATAGCTTATAAGAATTTTACAATTTTAAACACTGTTTCAATTATAGTACATTTCCTTTTAAATAAAACACAAACGCTTTTTTTTAAGGCATAAAGTTTAATTTGCTTTATCAACAACGGCTAATGGTCAAATTGAATAAACATTCGATCATTTTTATTGCCTATAATAATCGTTAGGTACGTGGAAGTGTATGCAAATTTATGATTGTGTATTCTATCTAAAGATTTACTTTCACTCGCTTTTATACGAATTATCACACACCACTATTGAAAAACACAATGCTGAATATTTCAGTTTTCTCTACAAGTAGCCTATTGATTCAACTCATAAAAATGTATCCTACAAGGTGAACCAGACATTTGGCAAATATCAACCATTCTTTAGCAAGCTTGATGTTATAATATATTTAATTTCAAGATTCTCCGAGGACAAGATCTAGACTTGTCCAATATTAGAATTTCTTTTAGACGCAGAGAAAATCCATAACATATGCTGTCGCCTTTATAAAAATATTTTGTTCGAAGACAATCGTCTATGGAAAATTATTCATTGTCAAGGGTATGAACTCGGTAAAAAATACTAATCTGAGAATTCAAGTGCAATGTCAGATATTCAGTTGCAATCGAGTAGTGCGAGCTATTACATAATAAATATTTATCTTTACTGCTAAAATGACCTTTCTGTACACGTTATAAAATTCATAATTTATAAACGGACAGAATTTGCTCAAAACGTTTAAACCGATTAGAAACTAAATGTTCCTCAAATTAAAAGCAGAGGACTGAACTAATTCAACTTAAATACAGCTTCGCTGATAGTAGTTTGCGACTTAGAAACAAAATGACATGATAAGGATAGGCTAATAACTGTTCAATTTTGTATAAAAATAATTGGTGGATTCCATTTCAATAAATAAAAGCAACTTATTTATAATATTAATAATTGCTATATTACGAGAAACACTGAAAAATAATTCGTGCTTAATGATGCATTTCAGCGTCGATTTATGTCAAGAATATCGCAAAAAATAAATCATTAAAAAATTGTTACATTTGCGGTAAATTGGCAAGGTTTGGTTTTTCATCAGGAAGTTTAAAAAATAGCCGGAAGTGAAACCACGGACCAAATAATCAACAAAACCAGTTTTTAGTTACGGAAGATAATGCAGGTAAATGGAAGAGAAGCAAATTTTAGCATGCCGCCTTGCAATCACTTAAAGTGTTAAATTATAAAAGTGAATAATATAAATTTGTTATTATATACATATATAAAATAATGTATCAAATATTTAAAAAAGTGATAAAATTCTTTACCTTGCACTCTCAAAGTTGGCAGAAGTGGAACTTCCAGTAGCAGCAAATCCGACTCCAACAGCCAGCCCTTCAGGAATATTGTGGACAGTGATGGCCACTACCAGCAACATAATTCTCTTCCAACGGCCGCGTTCTATTTCCTCAATATTGCATTCTTCTTCCTCCATACTCTGTAGTACAAGGTTTCCATCAGCATGTTGGTCTTTGCTTGTGTGAAGCATTTTACCTACTGCAAAGCAAGAAGAAAACGTTATTAAAGAAGTTGGAACACTAACAAATTTAAAAGTTCAAAGAATAATTCAATTAATTTCAGCATTTTAATTTTTCATTTTCTATTAAGAAAATGATGTGTCCAAATTTGCAGTTTGCCCTGCCTTGGATTAAGTAAGATTAATTAAGTAAAATATTAACAATAGCTGTTAAAAATATGACGCAATGTATGTAATCAGTGGATAAAGTAATCGCTTCATCTGATAAGAGCAAATGGTCATACAAATAATAAATAGTCACGCCTATAAAAACAATTGCCTCAATTGAAACTTTAATATACTAGCATTTCTTCTTAAAACTAAGCAAGTCACATTTTGGCTTATTTGGCCTTAAAAATTTCAGAATATAGGTTCTTGCTGTTATTACTGGACATTATACAACATTTTATTTATATTGACCATTTTTTTCTTTGTTTCAATTTATCAAAGTTAACAGTATTATTTTCACTGCACAGTAAAAATGCCACAGAACCAAATAGAAATAACTTCATACGTACAATCGTTATGCTATTTCGTTTAATAATCAGTGAGAGTGCGTTCAATAATGAGAAATAAATCTGCATTTAAACGAATAATTGTAGTGCAATATTTCTATTATCACTTTTTGAGAGCATGAAAGTACTTGACATTGGATCAAGGTTTCGAAACTGTTATATTGTCTCCCTAAATGGTCTTAAGTCATAATTATTTATGAACAAAATAACATAAAATTCAAATATATCGTTTTATAATTAACTGCAGTGTTAAAATTAGAGAGTTGAAATTTGGGAAAAAAATTCTTAGGCACGATATGACTGGTACACAAGAATACTACTGGAGTAAGAAACATTGAAGGTTACTGAAACAACAGCTTTGCTACAGTTGTACCTAAATCCAGTAAATACATAGTGGCAAATACACTAAAAGCATATTTTATTTACCCAAGCTATACCCTTAATTCCAACGATTGACAAGCATTCTAACAATACTAATGTTGCCAAATTTTATGACATCTACGTGTGATACTCCTGTATATTTAGTGGCGGATAAACAAAAGTTTCTATTTTGGCTTAAAACTTTAATTTAATTTGCGCACTGCTTTTTCACCCGAAAATTGTGCGCTATAAGAGCGGAACCTTGGATCAATTGAAATCCAGTAATAACTTACCAGTCTTGAATAAATAAAAATAAAGCAACTTCAGTATAAATAAGCATGCAATAAAAGATATTAGAATTAAGACAAATTAAACTTGTCGTGTAAGAAGGACTAACAAATTGACAATGCAGTATCACTAAACAAACATTTTTTATGGCCTACCACTTTAAAAATTATATTCTACGCATAATAAAAGTACATTCAGTAATTATGAAATCCATTCAAATGATACAATGGAATTAAAAATAAAGATTTTGAAAATATTGCAACATTAAAACCACTAACGCAGCAATAGACTACTTGCATGCGTCCATAATAGTATGCACTTGCTTTCTGCTAAATAGTTTCAGTTTACCAAATTAAGAAATTTCAAAATATTGAAAAATTTGCAATTGAAAACTGTTCAATGTATTCAAATAAACCACGAAAAGAGATTCAAAGTGGTACTGCCTAAACGATGCAAAGTGGTAAATATTAAAAGTTATTTACATGTACAAATCCTGAATTTTCGTATATTTTTGATATTATGGGGCAATAATATGCATAAGTAGTATTGGCATAAAAAGGGTAAATAAATACATATGTACATTTTATCTTAAATAATCTTTTGCTGTATGCAAAATATATCTTTGAAAAATGTAAAGAGTATGTTTTTAGTTTACTAGTTAATTTTTACATTTTGTTTTGGGAACTTGCAGGGATATGGAGATTTTCGGATGAAAGTTTGTAACATTAACCTCCTGTAGCTTCATTAGCGATGAAAATTATTCTACATACCTCAATCTTAAATCGCAAAATACTAATGTGGATTATTAAATAATAATTATTTTTTAAATTTTTAATCCAAAAAAAATTAATATCTTCAAAGCCAAGCTATAAAATCATGGATAAAATTGGAAATCAATATAAAATCATTACAATTGAAATACAAAGATTAAAACACGTTCAAGCATCCTATTGAGATCAGGAAGCAATATAAATGTATGTATTATTATTACATATTATATTCTTGGTATGAAAGTAATGTTAGTTGCATAACAAAAAGCCCTAAAGGACATTCTTTAAAAAAAAACACTCAAAATTAATATAAAAATAAACGACGGCTTGAATTGTAAGATCCAATAAACACGACAACACGTGGTCAACAAATAACGATACCAAGTCACTTAACAAGTGTGAATGTAGAGTAGGTCTTTGTGGATTTCAGGTGTTTAAAAATAAATTTGTTTAATGCTTTGATATAATATGATAACTTACCCCTTCGACGATGAACGTGAGTGCCCCCGATGTCAGAAAACCCATCCACGGCAGTTGTGTCAGGTAGCGGCATATGTGCAGAGTCTCTTCGAGACCCATCTCTACTTTTTCCTTTATTAGAAGCATGGAGCGCTGTGAAAATTTAATAATATAAATTCTGTTGAAAGCAACATTTTTCATAACTAACAAGAAAATGTTCAATCAGCTCGCTTTGGAAGACTGCCATTGCATTTTACAAATGTCAGGAAATATTCTTCACATACCTAACATCATGTTCGGGGAGTGCAGACCGAGCACGGAAATGAGTACATCCGCACCATAGACAAAAAGTGATCCTAGTAGGAATCCCAATGCTACTGGAGCCCAGGCATATTCGCCATTTTCACCATAATATTTAGATTCACCGGCTAGTTCTATAGCTGGGGATAACAATGACCAAAATGATGCTGCCACCATCACACCAGCGGCAAAGCCTAAACTGGCATCCAAAACTTTCCTCTGGAACAAGGAAAATTAAATTTTCATTATTCGTCTTACAGCTTAGTTCAGCTTAATTGTGCTGAAAAATTAACAAATGAAACATGGGGAATAAGTTTAGTTGCAAGAGAAAACTTGACAAAAACAAGCTAAGTTTTTTGACAATTTTAATTAAAAACCAACCATTTGATAAATGCTTATTTTTGCGTCTCTTATATTGTTTGAAACAAACCGAAGAAATATGAACATAAATAAGAAAGAACCTAAAGCTAGGATTCAATCAAAAACAAGCAGTATTGTGATTGTAAAGTAAAAGAAGGAAATTATATACAGGGTGTCAATCTATACATGGCAAACTATAACACGGAAAATTTTGAAAATTCGCCGGCAGAGCAAAATTATTCTGGGCAAACAATTTAAAACATTTTCAAAATCATTTCTTAATATGACTTACGCTTGTACCGGAAGTAAGCAAAGTAATCAAGCTAATAGTTTTAGGTGAAATATCCGTTATAGTAGATTTCCGAATTCTACTGAAAATATTTCAAGTATGCTATACTTAAGCCTAACCGTTTTTCAGATACTTACAATTTTAAGACAAAAATTAAATTTGCGCCATTAAAATAACTTAAAATTTCAGTTATTATGTATTTTTCTACCGCGTTCTTATTGAGAAACAAACACTTTACTATACTTTTAGTTACAGTTTGATTTCTATTAATACAAAGTGTTAAACATAAGTTCAGGATTGAAACTGAGAAAACCGCCAATTTTTTTTCGAAATGAAAACCTCAAACAGTAATAATTTTATCTGATTTAATACAAATAAAAATAATAATTTTGTTTAAAATTGCCTATGACAAAAATGTTTACTTTCCGATATATTTTGAACGTTTGAAAATGTCAGATATATACTAGTTATCTCAAGGACATTTGAAATGATTGCCATTCGATAGTCGCAAAAACAGAAACGGTGTGCTGTTAAGCAAATTGAATAAAAGTAAAAAATAAACAAATAAATTTGTTAATATGTTTGAAAATATAAAAAGCCTATTGAGTCTTTTTCAAAAAGACCCCACTAAATACTTTCTTATAAAAATTGTAGCAAAGTAAAACTTTCACAAATCATGAATTGGGTTAAAAGTGTGTTTGCTATTTAGGCAACCTTTCATCAAGCCATAAAAGTTCAAAGTTTTATAGAAAAAACTAGTAAGAGACTCATGTTTTGAAAACCTGTTCTTTGAGTATTTCGCTTCTAGATTTTTGTATGTTTTAAAAATACAGAATTTTGTCACGTCTTCTATTACAGATTCGTAGGGTGCTTTTATTTCACAATAAAGAACAAGAACAAATTCTTTATATTTCTCTTACAGCTTAAGCCTAAACTGCCTAAGTGTGTCATACATATCTGAGCTCTTAATTATGCCTTGATAAGGAATTTCCTCTTTATTGTGAAATAAAAGGACTCTTTATCCATCTGTAATAGAAGACCTAAGGAAATTATTTTTCAAACTCAAAAATTTGGACTCAAAACACTCAAAAAACAGGTTTTGAGAACATTAATCCGCTTCAACCATACAGAACTTTCTTTAATAGCCTCATAGGTGAGCGCGGTCCAAAAGGATACCGTCGCTTTTATGCTGCGGGTAAAGGAAATCAATCACAACTCATGACACGAGTTGAATCTGGATCTGCCATTTAAGCAGCCTTTACCAAACATACCAAGCTTCAAAAGGTAAAATTTTCAGGAAAATGGCACCAAAGACTAATCAGAAAAATATTGTCAAAATCAAGTTGTTATTCGTAGCTCATAATGATGCGAACAAAGAAGCATTAATAAATTATAGCTTGGCTCGAATGTGAGGCTGCCATTTAGGGAAGCCTACAAAAAAAATTAAGCTCGAATGGCTGGAAATTTCATAAAAATCGAATAAAAACGATTGATTCGATAGTTAGCATTTCATTTAGTATAAAAGTCTACTGCGCCCCATCAGCAGATATGTTGTTGTTTATCATTAGCTGAAACAGCTGTATTGTTTATAGCGATCATCATTTAACGAGTTTGTACATGAAATTTCCTTTCAAAATATTGCTGTATAAACTGGAATTTTCTACAACATTGTAAAGAACAAAAAAGTGGAATTGAACCACAAAGCCATGGAATTACTCATCCAAAGGGCGATCAAGCACATTATTATATCATCATGTTGGTTCTGTAGTGAGTTTTTTTAAGAAGCTGTTTAAATATTCAGTTTAGTACAGGCAATGGACTAAATCGGACGCCAGTCCTTTGTGCAATGTGTATGGCGATTTTAGATAAATATAATGAAAAAATGTGGGATAATTATGGCCCTTAAAGCAAGTGCGGTTACCCTGCGATCAAACTGCCAGATTAAAGTTTTCAATTCAGAATGCATTTTCATTGTTTGATCAAGTGTAGTGTGAACTTTTTGAAGATTTATGGGTTGAAAATGGAGGGGACGCCAACTTACAGAAAGCGGGTAAGAATGATGAATGTATAAATCCTTTATCTCAATCGATTTTCGTTTTGAAATGCATGGTTTATATTTTTTATTCTTTGCTTTGAACATATTTCCTGCTGTACTCAAGACATTTTCTTCTTTCTTTTCAGTAAGTTTGGTATTACTTTGCCCCTGGTTGCCAGGTAGATGTAGAGCTTTTAGTCCCATATTATTGACTTGTATTTTATTATATTGTTGCATGCCATATTTGTTGGGCAAAACTTGTTTGGGCAATTTAAGAACTACATCTTGATCGGTAAATTATTTAACCTGCTGCCGCTGAAAACTGGGTTTTATCGAATGTCGAACGTATAAAAGATGTTTACCCCAGCCTTGTCAAAGGATTCATATCAAATTAATTACCAGATATTGCAAGATTTATTGCCAAGTATCTTCAAGGAATAGCCTGTAGTGAAAATGGGACATTTGGCTTCGATGACCTAGAGAACTAATTGACCCACTGACAAAATGTTCAGAAATTACATTTTTTAGCTCAAGGTATTTATTGTATTCGAATTATATAAGTATTTACAAATTGCTAATCGGGCAAATAGTAAACAGTGACTTTTCAAAAGTAATAGACTAATAGACCAAGGATTAAATCCAAAATGCATATGTTTCAATGAAATAAGTATCAATATCATTGTTAGTGGAAAATAATGAGCTAGATTTACATACAATGTGGATTTTCAATCCAATTAGGAATTATTGTTATTTGAGTGATTTGTTTTAAATTATATTTAGTTTTACTAATGGACTATAAAAAGGCTTATTGCCAGAATAGCTCTTACCTCATAGAATACCAAAATACGAGGAAGATAGTTAATTATGTCATATTTTACACTGATATTAAAATTAATGTAACCAATATTTTCATTAATACTGATTTACATTGATCAGTCGCTATAAAAACGATTTAATCCATTCAAAGCTAAAGATTTATTATTTAAAGAAACGATATGCAATTCCAGTGAAAATTGCGCCATTACAAAACACGACTCTCTTATCGAACATTCTTCAATTGAAAATTGCATCGGGTACTTAGGAACATTAATTATTTTGATTCATAAACAATGATCATGCAATTAAGTCGACTTTCGTTCCATATGTCTTTATGCTTAATGCTAGCTTTATGCTAACAAGCTTTATAATATTAGAAACAAATAAAATTAAATCTTAATAACAATATAGTATTTTAAGCGGATGATTTAAATTATTAATCCACTAACTCGTTCTGAAAAGGTTACTGACAAGCCCCTATCTATATTACACTAATTAAATCAGTCGTTTCTACATTACAACGAATATTATAACGAGTTTTTTAAATTACATATGGCTCTTTAGATATGTAAAAGTAATTGCATTCTTAACCAACATTTAAATTCAAAATCTATAGGCGTTTTTTTATTATTATATGTAGTCTATTTGTCTTCTGCATTATAACAATAATGCAAACATTAAAGTTTTTATTTTAAAATGGATAAAGAATTAATGAATGGTTAAATGTGTCAAATAAAAGTAATAATGTGAAATACTTAATGTTTACCTGTTTTCTAAAAGTGGATCTCTAATTTTCACAACATAAATCAATAAAGATCGAGTAGTTTTTTATAAAATTAAAAACTGTAATGAACATAAAAAATATTGTGCAGCTCAATTTCAATACAACTTATAAAAAATGATGATTGAGTTTTTATCAGTATAACATATAAAACAATGCTGGATTAAATAATATGCATGCAAAAATAACTAAAAAAAAATAATAATAAAGGAATTAATTCATTAGAAATATAAGGAAAGGAAAGGAAGTCCTGAAAGGTATGATCAAGAATAAAGGTTACGTCAACAATGCTAATATACATTCATGTGAAACAATTCAATATCAATGTAATGGTTTTAGTTCAATACCTATACCCAAAATATATGGTTTATTTATTAGTTTCACTTTCACGAGTTGGTCAAATTTGAACTTTGATTGGATGGGTTAACTAATAAACTAATATAAAAATTTGAGACTAAAGACGGATAAAGCCCTTAAAGTAGTTTTTTGTATGTGTATGATTGTAAAATTAAAGTAGTGTGGAAATTACTATAAACTTTTTATTACATTAACAGGTGCAAAAGCGTGCGGAATAGTTGAGGTGTATTAAAGTCTTACATGATGATGAGCGTCAAATTCGAGTCACCTTATTGTTATAAAAAAGTTGATTAATATTATTGCTACAAAAACTAAAAGTTATAGTGCAGAACCGTTTTACATTTGCTTTTTTCCTTTCTTATCTTATATTCCAAATACTTCCAGAATACTAAAAATCTACATGGAATTGAAATGTTAATTTGTTTAAAATTTCCTTAATAATCTATAAGATTGGAACCGTCGACATTGATGTTACTGATTTAATATTATCTATCCTAATTTGAAAGGACTTATTATCCCAAATGAAATTAAACACGGTCACTAACAAAATTTTGTCCCATTACGGACATTTTGCCTTCTAGTTCCCATCATCAAGTCAATTTATTTAACTATGAACCTGTAAATAGGACCGTATTTCTAATAAGCTAAATGTTTTATTAGCATTAACATTCATTATCAGACCTTAATAGCTTATCTTTCTGTTGCATAGAGTTTGTTTCAAAAGAGCTCGAATTAATATTGTATCTATAATTTAATATTTAACAAGGCGTTAGATTATCGTTTACCTATAAAAATAAAGTAAAATCAGGCGGTGGTGAATTTGATACGCTCATATAGGGTTATCAAGAGGAGAAAAATTGCAAATATTATATATATTATATGAAATCAAGGAATCAGGAGGAAGGACGATGATTAGAAAAATGAACTTTGTATATGTACTTCCAACCATTCTCAACAAAAGTGATTCACATTAAGAAGGAGAATATCGACAAAAAAATTAGGGAGCCAATAAGGTGCTGAGTTAACATGCTAAGCAAACAAAGAATAATCAATCGCTGTTAAGTATAAACAAATCTGATTACCGGACTTGAAAGTGTACTTACGTACTTTATTTTTTAAGTTGGCTAATCTCCACCAATAAATGTATTAACGTACAATCTTAATATGTTTTAGTTTCTACTTAAAAGCTCTAATTTTAGACACCCACACAAACAGATTTATTTCTCTTAATAAAATTTCCGGCTCGTGATTCTACGGATAGAATACCAGTCAAATTTAGCTTTTCGCATCAAAATATTCGTATAACTTAGAAACAAATTTCACTGTAATTGATCGTAACTTTCGTCCGTTATTAGAAGAAACAGATATTTTTGGAAGAAGTTTGAAAGGAGCCAGACATTTTTACTTAATAAATTTTGACTAGTGTGGCTTCTTGTGACCCAACGAATGTAGTAGCGTTTTAATCGTGTGCTTAGGGGACACCCTGTAGAACCATAGGAAAATATTGGAATGCTTTTGCAATGAATGGGTTTTGGATTGGGCAATGTTTCGTAGAAACTGGGTCAAAATAAACATATTTGAAAATTTTTGCGAGTATATTCCTAAGTTATTACCTACATATGCACATATATATACATATTTAGGTAATTTGTAATGTTGTATGTAATTCCAATTTTGGCGATTCCAACAACGATTTTTTTACGATCTGGATTTCTTATGTTATTATGGGCATTCATAGTGATGAGTAGAAAAATGAAATTTATAATTGATTATTACACGGTTTAATGCGTATTTGTAAAATTGTTGTAACGAAAGTAGCTCATAGATACGCGCTCAAATTTAACGCATAGTATAAATATTTCCCAGCTTTTGAGTGTGCATATTTTCTCAATTGGTAATCTGATTTGAACGGGTTTTCTATCAAAGCTTACCGCTATTGTTCGGCAAAATTTGCGTTATAATATATGCTAAAGAAATGCAATAAACATATTGTTCAGGGTATTTAAATACTGTCATGTTTTCTTGGACAAAGTTGAAAGCTTTCTGAGGGAAATATGAGGTAGGCGAAAGAGAAAAAAGTATATGATGTTATAGCCTCATGTCTTGAGTTATCTAAATTCTACATATAGAAGGTGTCCCATAATAATACAGATAGTGCGCTATTCTGTGCACCAATATCAGACGATCTGACCTAAGTTTTATTAACAAAAAATGTCTGGCCCCTCTGCTATTGATGATCAAAGTTCTTCAAAAAAGAATGGTACGATGTATTTTGGTGAAACTCGCTGTAAATTTGTTCTTATGTAAGACTCATATTTTGATGAAACAATCGAGTTCATCGGTTTTGGACACGTGGTGAATTCTTGAGTGTCGTGGTACAAAAACTACCAGAACTTTTTATTTGGTGGACGAAATCAACTAATTTTTTTTTGGTTGATGCCCTAATCATTGATTCACAATTTCGTACTCTTTGTAAAACCTTGTAGCATTCATAGTTTTTGCGAACAAAAATATTTCTGTTTTCTTGCCACTTAACAATGTTAGACATTAACAGCAAATACTGTTTTCCGGCCGAAATTTACTTAAACTGATTATTTGCGAGGAAAACTTGTCGAAAAACTCTGTGCAAAGAACATTTTATAAATTGATCAAACTAAACAAGTTTTTTAGTTATATTTGATGTCAGTTTCATGATATCCACAGTCAAAAGTTAGGAAATATTTAAGCTAGGCGGTAAATTTGCGACGTAGTGTAATTACCTATATAATTAATGTACATTTGCATATCAGAATAAGTAAAAATTCTATTTAGCTGCTATTATTTAATGTTAACAGGAGTAGAGTAAACTAGCGTTTTAAGGTCATCAAAAAAGATTCAAAGAGGTAAGATCGGGAGGACGAGGTGGCCATAAAATAGAACCACCTCGGCTACTACTACTTCTAATATTACTCACTAGTTCCAATATATTAATTAATTATTGCAAAGGTTTTAAGGAACATTATAGTAAAAAACCTACCTGGACCTATATAAGCAACTGATTTGTACTTATTAGAAAAGTAAATTTTGACTGTATGCCTACAGTATAAAGGCTGTTTTGCGGAAAAATTTCCACTTCAAAAGAACGAGTAATTATGAATCGCTTGTATTATAAAAAATTAAAAAACGGCAAATAAACTGTGAAATGAATAATAAATTAAATATTTTCAACTTCACTTCACTTTGAAAGCCCATTCTATTAATTCTGATAACTGTGGCGATAATAAAAATATTATATAAATAATTTATAAATTTCATGCAGTACATTGTTATTCAGCTTATGGATCTTCAGACTTATTTTGCTGAATGATATAAATAGAACACGGTACACCTGGTTTCACTTGAGACTGAAAATCAGCAAAATTTGATCAAAACAAATTAAACAAATTAAAGCACTATAGCAGTAGAGGGTTTGTTTACATCGTAAATTGAGGTTATGTTTACTAACCTGAGAGCCTCGGATGATAACAACTAGGGAAGCACCACATGCAGTTAATCCCCAGGTGAATAATGTGCCTAAAAAGGCCTGCATAACCGGCGAATAGCCTTCAATCATGTTTTCGTTGTTGTTTTATTTAATTTGCGTGTTGAAATCGAGTTAACAAAACCGCGTACCCGCACAAACTGCCATTTCTGCGCCCATACTTCTACTATATGAAACGTGTCAAAAATCGACATGCGCGAAAAATCGCATGCTCGGATTCATTTGGAATTAAATAAAAAATTATTAATTGTGCATAGTTGATAAAGCTCAGTAAATAATTGACTGGTTGGGGAGCATTCGGTAGACGGTCTTGAACTTATACTCTCAAAGCGCCAGGAACTCTTTATATTAACTAACTCTTAGGGTCTTCATGAACTTGTACTGCATGAATTAAAGACATAATTGTTCTCTTGCCACTTCATGACTTGGTACTTGTTAAGTCAATTGATTTAGAAACCCATTTTTCTAAATTAACTTTTGAAATATTCAGCTTATGGATGGTGCTCGGAACTATGAACGTTCATCTACAAATAATGATCGATCAAATCTCATAATATCCTTAATTTAAAATAATTTCAGTTCGTTAGGAGAACGATTAGACTCCTATTAGTTAGTGTTAGTTAATACGATTATACAGGGGGCTTTGAATCGAATAGCTTGATAAATTGGTAAGTACTTACATCCATAAAAAAATGCTTGCTAAAGGAGCTATGCCGCTTTAAAAACGTCAATTTTTGCGAATTATTTCTAATGCTTAAAATTGAAAACGTATGTACAGGGTGTTTCCTCATAAGTTGACACCTTCCGCCCTAATTCGTTTATTTCAAAAAACTTCTAACAGTGACCAACACAAAAGTTCTTCAATTTTTTTAATTTTTTTAAAATCTGAATTTAAAATAAAAATATGAAACACGGAACTGTCAAAATTTGACTTTGAACGTTTTTTTAAATGAAACACCCTATATATTATTAGACATATCAAAGGGATTTTTTTCCTGATTTGAAAAATATACAGGGTTAATTTTTTAAAGTGTTACAAGGCTTAAGTGTTTAAAGTGTTACAATATCTAAGAAACGGTTTCAAATATATTTATAAAATTTTGGGAAAACAAGAAATAGGTACGGGGACGTATTTTAACATATGTTTTATTATTCTACTCAAGCGCCCTCTGTATGAAGTAAAGGCAACATTAAAATTTTAAAAGGAATGATATATTTTTGAATGTAAAATCTAAATCAGCATAAGAAACTATGTATGTGTAGAAATTTTTATGTCATTTGATCACTTAGTTCCAGAATGATAACGTGCAACATAAATTTAAAAAAATAAATTTATTAAATTATGACCCTACCAATAGTAATCAAATACGTTTCAGGATATGTTCAAAATGCCTGCCTTCAACTTCCAAACACTATACTACTCTATTTTTTAAAGAATTTTGAAATTTTTGACAATTTGGAAAACCACTGACAAACATGTTTAATTGTATTGAAATTCAATAAAACTTAAATTATCGATACTTGTGTAACCAGACGAGTAAACCATGCAAAAATTTGTACACATACGTAGTTTTTCATATAGAATCAAGTAGATCGCTTCAGTAGAATAGTAAAAAATATGTTAAAACATGTCCCTCTACCTATCTATTACTTTCCAAAATTTTTATAAATATATTGCAAGCTGTTTCTGAGGTATAGCCTTGTAACACTTTAAAAAACTCCCCCTGTATATTTTGCTTATGTTTGTATTAGCCGTTTTTTCTTTATTGCGTTTAAAAAATTATAAATAGCAACAAATCAAAGTTTCCTTGAAATGCGACCAGGCGCTACACACCCCATAACTTTCGCCCAGTAGCACTTTTTTTTAATGGAAATATTGATATCTGGATTGTACGAGCGTCCTATCCAATGGGCTTCAAATAGCCCCGACCTAACGCCTCTTGATTCTTTTCTCTAGGGTTATTTAAATAATATTGTGTATGAAAATCTAGTCAGACACGTGTCTATCCACTATTTTAAGGTACCTTAAAATAGTGGATGCAATTAACGATATTAATAAACCAATATATTCAAAACGTTATAGATAAAATTGAAGTAGATTATAGAGTATGTCTAGCGTTAAACGGAGGTCATATGCAAATAGAGTGATGTTAATGACTTTGTTTTTATTTATTTACGGGCTTTAAAATTGATAGTAGCAGTAAATTCTGTTTTGCTCTCTTTCTATAGTTTTTTGTTTCATTTCAGGCGACTTTAATTTGCTGCTAACCAACATAATCCAGAAAAAACGGTTAATACAAATCTAGGCAATGTATACCTACATTTCTGAAACCAGAAAAGAAATCCAACCCACCTGTCCAAAAGTATATAGGGTGTTTCATTAACAAAAATAGACCTTATGTCAAATTTTGACATTTCCGTGTTTTATATTTTCATTTTAAATTCAGATTTAAAAAATTTGAGTAAAATTAAACAACTTTTGTGTTGGCCACTTTCACAATTTCTTTGATATAAACGATCTAAGGGGGGTGTCAGCTTATGGGGATACACCCTGTACATACTGTTACTGTTAATTTATTTTATTTGAAATTGTTGTCATCAAGTAACATATATTTTGGAAGGTAGAGATTTTTGTAGGATTTCGGAGAGTTGTTGTTGAAAAATGTTCTCCATAGATCCACAGATCTATGGAGATTTCCAATTTTACAATCTCCATAGATTGTGAAAATGTGGGTTTTACCAAAAAGGTACCTACTGGCAATTGATTCCACTCAGACGCATAATTTTTCAGCAAAATTTCAGACAAATTAATGCTGATTGAAATAATAAATAAATCTCATATTTATATGAAAGAAAGATAATTTTGAAATGTACAGGATGGTTAGGTATTAGTTTTAAGTTAGGTTTACTATTATTCAGGGGTTTATTCAACCGTAACACCGTAAAGTGACAACCACCACCGGAATATCTGTTTTCTAATATTTTCTAATAAAAACGGTCTATAGTTGATATCCCTAAGATTAATGGCTTTCGAGATATTAGCAATTAAAGTATTCCATGCGTTACATTTAGAGTTGTAGACACGTAAGTAACAAAAATTACCTTAGTAGGCTGTGATGTTTTCTAATTAGTTTAACACTTTCGAGAAATGGCATAAATTGTTTTGGTCTTCACATTTTACCACCCAATTTAAATATATTTTTGTATTTATATTTTCTACGGAATAATTTACTTGATTATTTGGAAGACATTCCTCGAAACATAAGGCATGATAAAGTCTTACTTGAGAGAATTACCTGACCGCAAAGGTTCTCGAATCGTTAGATTGGCCGAGAAAGTCAAACACTATGGTCAGCATAAAGTCTCGATTTTAATCCTCTAAATTTGCTTGTATGTGCATACCTGAAGTTTTTAGTGTATGAATTTGGTATAATAAATAACCAAGACGAATTATTAATAAATAAATTATTTAAGTTAAGTTAATGGACGTCATTTTGAACAGTTTTTGTGAAAAGCTGATCGGTTTTTTATTATTGTTAAAAAGTTTATTTATTGTGTGTATCCATGAAATCGTCATTGCTCATTAAATTATTTTTGTCCTCTATTAGTCCAGGTAAAAATAGACAGTTTTTTCATAAATGTATTGCATCGAATAGTTTAATTGCAAATATCTCCAGAACCGTTGATCTCAGAGATACTAAGTAGGTTTACTTTTTGTGTACTAAAAACATTGTAAAACAAGAATGTAAGTTTACATAAAATTAACTTTAACCCCTTAGTATTTCTGTTTCATTCGGCTTTTCTAAGTAAGTTGCACTAAATCGTATTACCTTGCGACGAATTGACGTATTTTTTTCGTTTACCTATGGAACACTGTGTATAAAGTGTTCCAATAGAAAAACTCAAGTTTAAAATTTAATTTATTTGGGACACTCCGTATAGTTTAAACACACTCTATTTGTCAACAAAGCTGGATTGGAAATACCTATTTGTTTCCTCGGGAGATTAAGTCCCGAATAAGATGGGCCACTCTGTACAATTTTACCATTCCATTGTTACCAAACTAAGGATAATTTAATTCAGATTAGCCTTATTATTTTTCTAAATTAACATCCTGTATCGGAATGTGCATAAATGCATCAATAAAAAATTAAAGAACGTTAAAACAACTACTAATTACAATAAATACAAATTTTGATGAAAAAATAAATGTAAAATATTGAAATTAAGGCGCCATATGTCGATGATCAGCGCATGTTATTTCGTTTTTTGAGGCGCAATTGAAAGATTTGTCAATATATTTGTCGATGGCAGTACACTTACCCCTTCCAAATGCCCAATTTCGAAATTTAGTCAGCCTTTGTTCCGATCGATTAAGCGTGAGAAGTCGTCCAAGAAAAACTAAACAACAACCGGACATATTTCTCTTTCGAGTTAAAATTTGTTTTTGTTTGTTCCTGGAAAGGTAAACTTATTATCTCGCTATTATCGCAATTTTTAAAACCGCGGAAGTGTTTTTGAGCGTAAAATATGTAGGTTTTTTGGCGTTTTTAGAGTTTACAACGCAATTTTCCTATACACCTGCATAAACCGGTTTGCGGCGATGCAAATCACATGTTCAAGTTTAATGTTAAGTAGCGGCCGTTAAATATTTGTTTTTAATGATTACGAGTTTGGTGCAAAGAACTTTAATAAACTTTCGAAAGTCAGAACATTCGTCTTGAAATGAGCAGGACATTGGGACATGGACTAATCGTGCATGGAGCCTCTTCTTGGGTGAGTGCCAACTTTTTAATCTAAAAATTCATGTAAACACAAAATCTTCTGATTGTTAAATGTACCTTTTCGGAATTTGGTGATTGTTCGTGCAATAATTTCATTGTACAATTGAACTGTGTATTATGAAAATACCCGGTGGTTCCAATAATGCGTAATGAAGCAACTTTCGCACAGCAGGTATATTGTTTTTCCATACATTCGAATTTTTTTGGTCTTTCAAAAGCAAGTGTTTCTATAAACATCTAATATTCGGAAACAAATGTTTTAATGTTTAAGTTTTGCGACATTATTTATTATTTTACGGCAAATATGAATGTTTTCTAAAATATATTTTCAATCAACCGATCGAAACAGACATGTCGGAACACGTTTTGACCCGACAGGCACCGATTATTTACGTAAA